TTTGTGAAATATTTGTTTTATACTTTTTTCTTGTATGCCCTATTATGTAATACACATGTCCAAAATTTTATCTTGATTTAATTTGTATAAAAAAAATTAAAATTCAAATAATAACATACATTTTCAACCATCTGATCAAGATATGATGGCTGGGAATATGACCTAAACTCCTATTCACTTCAGGTCGAGACCTATAGTTATCTTTTTACTTATAAAAATTTCACAATATTTTCTCTGCGAGAGTTTTAACAAATTCGAGAAATTTATCATAGTTGACAGAATTTTTGTTGAAATACCACTAGAACGAGCATGCTATACATCTACTTGACAATTAAGATATGGCCAAAACTGCTTGGAATGCTTGCATACTAATTCAAAAGGCAACAGTCACCTGCCTTCTTCAAAATTTTCAAATAGGATTACATTTGAAAAGTATTAAGCTGTTCTACTCAACACCAAAGGAATGAAGAATGAATAAAAAATATTACCTTGGAGAGAAGAATCACATAAAAGGGAACCAATCAAGGGTGGCCTGAAAATTTACACAAAACTCAAGATAACACTTAAGAAGTATCAGAGCAAAAGCCATCACCTTATTTGCGGTGACTGAAATTTGCAACAGCTCGAGATATGGTCAGATGTACAAGGCTGGGTCTACGATTTTGCATGCTTGGCCATCCATCCCAGTTGACGGGCCCGCATTTCCCACATGGCTGTTAATTTCTTCTGGGTGAGTAATGTGGCCTCAGATTTTTCTCTCGCTTCCTCACATGTTTCCATCCCTGAATTGCATTTGTCTGCCTCCTTTTGATATTGGGATGCCGTCTTTTTGGCTTCTAACAGGGCCATATCAGCGTGTTGTTGGTTCTCGACTGCCAAAGCTTCTTGCAACTTTAGTTCCTCAGCCAAGAGATCAGTGAAATTCTTCTCCATGTCTTCGCTCATCTCAGGATCATGTTTGCTACAATCTGCTTGAAGTTTCCAGAAGAAAATAATAAACATTATTCGAAGTTCTCTCTTTGGCTGTTAATTCAGCAACCATTGTGATGGAACAATTATTTAAAGAGCAACCTGATCAGAGGTTTCACAGGTAATAGGTGCAATGAGGCAGAAGCACACCTCCAAATAACTGACAACTCTTTATCTCTTGTAAGGTCACTGTAAACTAAGCCTGTTCCACCCATTTGTCAAAAGGTGTTTTTACTGGGTGTCAAGAAGGTTAAGCTTTTGGAAATCCCAATAGTATACATCATAATAGATTCTCATCCTATTTTTCTGCTATGCAATAGATGCTATCCTCATTACAACTATTTTTTAGAAATGAAGGCATCTACTATAACTACAAATGAGAACTACCAAGAGATCTCCATCCTTTAAGGAAAGAGCTTCCAATAGGTTCCTGCGACTTCCTACAGTAATTTGTTGATCCTCCTTGCCATTCGATCTTGATTTGATGGTTGAGAGTGCATCAAACAGTTTGAATTTTATTTTATCTTTTACAAATCAGATTGGACTGAAAATTTGGGCATGTACACTTCTCACCCTCATCGACATGAAAAGATATATAAAAATAATAATTCTAAAAAAAATAAAATGACCAGAATACCACTACAAAGGTATCTTGGTCATTTTTTAGATATACTTTATTTTTTTAGGTGCACTTAAATGCGTGCAGACACCCTCAAAATTTCAGCCCGATCTGATCATCATTTTAGCCTTTTCTCAATTAATTGGGGTTGGCTACATGAATCCAGGTTCTCCATTTTACTCTATTAAAAGCCATATCCTCAATGAGGCCATAAGTCCCCATATCTTTTCGGACTACTTCCAATCATGTCCCTTTGGGCCTACCCTTTGCCCTTTTCAATTCTTCCACTTGAATTAACTCGCACCACCTAACAGGTGCTATACTTGGTCGGCGCCACATATGGCTAGCCCACCTAAGTCTACTCTCTCATTTGATCGCCTATTGGTGCCAGGCCTAAATTCTCTCGAATAGATTCATTTTGAATCCTATCCCTTCTTGTCTTACCACTCATCCATCTCAACATCATCATCTCCGCTACACTAATTCTATGGGTATATTGTTACCCAACATTCCGCCCCATAAAGCAAAGCTCGTCTTACCTCTGTCCTATAGAACTTGCCCTTCAGCCTCATTGGTATGTGGCGATCACATAAAATTCTAGTTGTACATCTCCACTTCGCCCACCCAACTCTAATTCTGTGTGCGACATCTTCCTCGATCTCTCAATTTTTCTGGATTATCGACCCAAGATATAGAAACTGTTTCTTTTTTGTACTACCTGACCGTCGATCTTAACTACCTCCTCGTCTCTACTATTATTATTACTAAACTTGCACTCCACATACTTTGTCTTAGTCTGACTAATTTTAAAAATTTTGGATTCTAGAGCATCCCTCCAAAATTCTAACTTTGTGTTGTTACCGTTTCGAGTCTCATCAATCAAAACTATGTCATCTGTGAACAACATGCACCACGGTACCTCAACTTGTAGGTGCCTAGTTAAGTCATCCATAACTAAGACAAAGAGGTACGGGGCTCAATGCTGACCCTTGATGTAGACCTATTGTCACTGAAAAATCACTTGTCTCTCCACTAGTTGTTCGTACACTAGTTAGTGTTCCATCATATATATCTCTTACCAAGTCGATGTAGTGTCTAGAGACGTCTTTCTTTTCCAACACCCGCCAATCAAATCTCGAGGTACTCTATCATAAGCTTTCTTTAAATCAATAAAGACCATGTTGGGGTCTTTTCCCTTCACTCTAAACTTCTCAATCAGTTGCCTAAGTAGGAAAATAGCCTTCGTTGTTGACCTTCCTGGCATAAAACCAAATTGGTTTTCAGATACACTTGTTTCATGCCTTAGTTGTTGCTCAATGACTCTTTCCCAAAGCTTCATAGTATGACTCATAAGCTTGATCCCTCGATAGTTTACACAATTCTGTATGTCTCCTTTGTTCTTGTAAAAAGGTACCACAATACTTTTCCTTCATTCGTCTGTCATTTATTTTGTTCTCAAGACTTTGTTGAATAGCTTCGTCAGCTAGTCAATGTCAATTTCCCCCATGCACTTCCAAGCATCTATCGGGGTATCATCTAATCCTAAAGCCTTTCCTCCTTTCATCCTTTTCAAAGCTTCTTTCATTTTCGACATCCTAATCCTATGAATGTATCCATGACCTCTGCCGTCACTTGTACCAACAGTCCCTTCTACCACTATGTTCCCATTGTGTTCGTCATTTAATAATTTTTGAAAATAGATTCTCCACCTTGCGTTGACCTTATCATCCTTCACCAATAACCTTTGAACCTCACTCTTAACGCATTTAATATTATTTAGATCCCTACACTTTTTCTCTCTTATTTTTGCTAATTTGAAGATGCCTTTTTTACCTCTTCTTGTTCCCAATTTATTGTATAGATTATCATATGTCTTAAATTTAGCTTAGTTACTATTTGTTGAGCATTTTTCTTAACATTCTTATATTCTTCTAAGTTTTGATCGTTTCTATTACACTGCCAAATTTTATAACATGATCATTTTTTGCTAATGGCCTTCTGAACCTCATCATTCCACCAACAAGTTTCCTTATCGATGTTTATTTTCCCTCTAGATTCTCCTAAAGCTTCTTTTGCCACTTTTTTGATACATTCAACCATCTCATTCCATATTACATTGACATAAAGTTCAGAGTTCAATTTTCCTTCTTCAACTAATTGATCCCAAAATAAGTCTATTTTCTCATTTTTTAAATTCCATCACCTAGTTCTTTGATGCCCATTATTTTCACCCCTTCTCCTCCATGTCTTTATGCAAACGTCTATGACCACGAGTCTATGTTGGGTAGTCAAATTCTCTTGGGATAACCTTGCAGTCTTACATGATGGTCGATCTATTTTCTTAACTAGGAAAAGGTCTATTTTGCTTTTATGTGTTCCACTTTTATAGGTTATTAAATATTCATCTCGCTTTTTAAAGTAAGTTTTTGTTATTGCTAAGTCGTAAGCCATCGCAAATCTAGAACAGTCTCGCCCGTCTCATTTCTTTCCCCAAACCCCATATCCCCCATGTACCCGTTCATATCCTCTACTATCCTTCCCTACATGACCATTTAAGTCCCCTCCTAAAAAGGTCCTCTCTCCATTTGTTATGCCTTGGACTATTCCATCTATGTTCTCCCAAAATTGTCTCTTAATTCTATAATCTAATCCTACTTGTGGTGGATAAGCGCTAATTACCCCGATCTGATTTATAAATATATAAAATTCAAGTAATGAGATGTCCTCTGAACCACCCTGTCAAAGATCATACAGTTGGTAGGGTCACCAAGTTTATAGACACATGGTGATAACCTATTTGAAGTTTTTTTTCCACAAACACACCCACACACACACATATGGAAGTTTAGTAGGAGACAAGTTCAAGTCTTATGAAGACTCATCGAGCATTTGAACCCTAGGACTCCCATCAATGTACAATTGAACTACATTTTTCTTATCCATGGATGCCCTTGACCTTGTTTAAAGGGCATAGAATATGCATTTAACTCAAATTTTTGGTTTCTTCTAAGCTTTTAGTTTTATTATATTTTATTACTTTCATATTTTTGTAGTGCATTTGGGAATAAATTTTCAATGCAATACAAACCCGACATGGTCAAGCTGTATCGGTATCAACTGACCACCATTTTCCAATGACTTCTACAAAATGAGAGGGTATTGAAAGCATCAATCCCAGCCCATGATACATGATACCAAAGAAAAGGCCTTATGAGGTATTTGCATAAGGTCTTTCCTTTTTTATTGTACTATTTAAAATACGGGATTGTCTACAAAGAGACCATTTATCTTTTGTATATAGAAGTCACAATCATTCTTGTCCCTTAAATTTCAAAATGGGTGGTTGTAAGAATATCATTTGATAGATACAAAATTCAAAAAAAAAAAATTCTCGGACTTCGTGACTCACCCCGAGCCATCTCATTTGAATCTAATAAGTGGGAATGATTGTGACCTCTATGTACAAATGATAAATGGTATTTTTGCAGACAATCCCTTCAAATAATGAACTTCGCTTACAATGAAAGAGTGGAAAGTGACATTGTCGCTAACAATGTCCCAATATTTCCTAATCTTATAGATTTTGGGTAGTTGTGTGAGAGTTGCAAAATCAACATCCCTAGTAGACTCGTCACGAGGCCACAGCTAAGTTGCGAGAGAGATCCTAGTGTTTGAACTTTGACTTCAACACACTAACAATCGAAAGATGCAATAAAACGGTTTAACCCAAGGTTTAAAAAAAACGGATCAGCGACCCAGATTGTCTACCCCAAAAACCGTGTCGAAAAAGGGGATCGGCGTGTCGGATCAGAGAATCAGTCGAATCAACAAGTTTCATCCCAAATAATTTTCAAAAAATCACTATAAATCTCAAAAAATAGTGTTCTCTTAATTTCTAAAGGAAAATAGGTGAATACTGACACGTTTTCCTATCTGTAATTATTAATTATAATATTGTATTATAATATTGCATCAAGATAATTTAAAAATATTATAAAACACCTCTATATTATAAGATTAAAAAAAAAATCCTATATAAAGTGAAATTAGTATCACATCAAACACTTATTAATTCTCTTTACTTGTCCAAAATTATCACAACCTAACTAACTTCAATATATATTGAAATTGAAATTATTAGTTGATATTTTACAATCATTTTACTATACAAATAAGAACAAATTTGAAATTTGTCTTATAATATCATGTAATTTAAAAAATTTAATTTATAACTATAATAAAAAACAATACATTACATAATTTATAATATAAATCTATTAATAAATAATATATAAGATTTAGTTATCAATGTAATTTGTACAATTATTAATTATAATAAACGTGATTCATAAGACAAGATGACTCTTGTATATATATTTT